TGGTATTAATGTTAACTTGAGAAGTAACCGCAACCTGCTTTATTTTTTATTTTTTGGAGAGGCAATGGTGCGAAGCGACTTGCCCAGAGTCACACAACTAATAATTGTCAAGTGTCTAAGGCCAGATTTGAACTCCAGTCTTCCTGAATCCAGGGCTGCTACTCTATACACTGTACCATCTAGCTGCCCCTGCAACCTGCTTTAAGTCCTATGAAGTGAAACTTGATGTGGGAGGTGAAACCACTTGGGACTGTAAATTTTGATTTGATCTCAGGTTTTATCCAGCTAGGAGAGTTTATGCTGCTGAGTCAAGAAACTACTGTCACGTCAATACCTGCCCACTAGGAACCACAAATCCATTGGAGTACTTCATTCCCATTTGCAGATGGGGACGCTGAAACTAGTAGATGTAAAAGGCCCTATTCCAAAGTCAGCACCAAGGGGAAACCTTTTACATCGCCATGCCTCATCATCTTCATCTGCAAGTGGGAATGAAGTACTCCCATGGTGGTTCCATTAATGTGGTTAATTCCTCCACTGTTTCAGATCACAACCCACCCATGTGTCTTGTTCAAGTCCATAGTCCACCCAACGTGTGTATATGTGACGGAAGGGAGCACTTTTTTTTTTTCCTTTTCTTGACATGGTGAAGACACTAAGGAAGACTCAAAGTCCATTTAGAGGAGTAACTTTTTTTTAGGCAATTGGGGTTAAATGACTGGCCCACGGTCACACAGCTAATAGGTGTCATGTTTGGTCTGACGCTGGATTTGAACTCAGGTCCTCCTGACTTCAGGGCTGGTGCTCTATCCACTGCACCACCTAGCTGCCCCAATGTATGGTTTAATTTGATATTTGGTTTTAATGGCTGCCATAACTAAAAAGATACTTCACCAAGATACAATAATCCAAATGGGAAAAAGGGAAAAATGCATTGGTGGCTGTGCTTACTGAAGCACAGCAATAATTTTTCAGTTCCATCCATCTATTATGCAAAGGTTTTCCTCGAAGTTCTGTCTTCCCTTATGACAGCTATTCTTGCAAACAATTGGAAGGTGTTGCATTTTTAACTGAAATTCTCCATTTGGGAGATTTTTAAACAGGTTGAAAAAATGTTTCTAAGTTTTAAAAGTGTGCCAAAAAAGAAGTTTTTTCAGGTGATATTCTTACATTTTTTTTTCTGAGGGGGAAGGGGGACAGATGGAGAGAGAGATAGAGAGATAGAGACAGAGAGGAATGGTGAGAGGGAGAGAGAGGTGAGGGGGAGAGACGGAGAGGAAGAGGGAGGGACAGAGCAATAGAAGAGAGATATAAAGGGCAGAGAGAGAGAAAGAGAAGAGATGAGAGGGGAGATGGGAGGACAGAGAGAGAGAGAGTTAGTTGTCTTATGTCTGTAACTGTATAAATCTGTCATTATATTAATGAACACTTTGGGATTCATTACTCTGAAAACAGAGTGAATCCCCCACCAGCTACACAGCTGTGAGAAATAAACTTTGAACTATCTGCCTGCTAATCAGAGTGTGGTCACTCAGCCTGGTGTCAGGAAGATCTGAGTTTAGATCTGTCTCAGATACTTACTAGCTGTGTGACCTTGAGCAAGAAACTTCACCTCTGTCTACTTCACTGTTCTCAACCAAAAATAAGGATGACTCACAGGGTTGTTGTGAGGATCAAATGAGAATTGTTAAGTGCTTAGCAGAGTGCCTAGCTCATAGTAGGTGGTTAATAAATGCTTATTTCCTCCCCCTTCCCTTTTCTCTTCTGGTTTGTGCTGGGCAATATAAACCAAGTGTGAGCACCAGTATCAATTCACATATTAAAATTAATAAAGCTTACTTTCTTATAAAGAAGAAAAAAATGCAAGTTATAATGCTTTCTCTTCCACCTCACTTAATAAACCACTACATTAAAGTACTGATAAATATCTCACAGAGTTCTTTTACAGAATAGCTAACATATATAACTTGATAGCACTGGAAACATAAAGGACTAAAAATTTCTAGATGAAATGAAAAATGAAAGTCTTGGAACCATCACATCATGAGAATGTAAGCTGCTTCTTCTTCTTCTTCTTCTTCTTCTTCTTCTTCTTCTTCTTCTTCTTCTTCTTCTTCTCTTTTAGAATGTAATGTTTTATTCTTGAAATTGTATCCTCAGTGCCATTTACTGTGCCTGGTAGAAAGTACAGGTAAATGCTTGTTCATTCGAACATTTGTCTTCTCAGAAGCTGCAACCTAGATGCAAATTTGGATGAAGGAAAGCATGAGATACTGCTAAGGAAACACTGACAGAATTTGCTTTTATGTCTGAAAAACAGCACATAGCTCCACAGGTAATGAATGAATTACCATTTTATGAAACAGATTACACAGTGGAGGAAATTCTTGGAGCTGTGTTATCATATGATGATCTGAGGCATTTCTGCTGCCACAGAACTACTAGCATCATGAAATACTATTAAAGGAATCTGCATTTGCCTATTAAGTAATTAACTGTGTCTTTAAACATGTTAAGATGTAGACAATCATCTAATATGAAGAAATATGTAGGTGTTTTGTGTTATACTGTATTCCTGCTTATTTGATTTTCCCTGTTTTCTTGAATCCTCTGCAGTTTTTTTTTTAGTTTATAAATATCAACTGAATGGCATTTATTTCACTACCTACTCTCTAGAGATGCCTATGTTGAACACCTCAGCTACAAATCAAATAGTATAAATAGATCACTTAGTTGTGTAAGGACACAGAGGCTCCTAGACTCAGAGGCCACAGGTTTAAGGACTTCTTCTTCCATCTACCCTTTGTGTGGGAGGGGAGTTCAAGACGCCTCCTCAAATGCCCCTACCGCTAGTGTGGGATACCATAGTTCAAGTATTTAGGTCACAGAGAGTCTGAGGGACTCCTCACTACCCATACAAAATCTATAGTACCCTGAAAGTTGAAGTGATGTGAAAGAAAGCAGAAAATGATGAATTTGGGGGAACCTCTCCCCTGAAAAGTGGAGTACTGTGAATTTAGGGGAAACATCTCCCCAGAAAAAGTAACAGAACCTGAGAATACTATAAATAGGGGAGGACAGAATGAGCTGATGCTACTGGTACTCCTTTGAAGGAGATCTCTACCAGCTTGGATGATTAAATTAACTACAGAGAGAAGTTTACCTTGTTAGAGTAGACTTGTTTGGGCAACTCCTAAGACTAAGGAGGAGTCCTGTCTCTATTTCTCAACTTCCCATCGAAAAAACGGCAGAGCAGGCTTTCCTGATAGGCTGATTGAACTTTTAACTTTGCCTCCTAAAGTCTCCCTAAGATTGTGTAAAGCCCTAAATATGTATGCTTCTCCTTTCGTTCAGGGTTATTACTGTCTACCTATCGACTTCCCATCAGCTGATGCTAATTAAACTTTTTATCTTCTAGCCTGGCCCCTGATTTATTGACCTCCAGTCAAATGGACTACAAGGAGGGAGGAATTACTCTCTGAGAGGGTCTTAGTACCTTTGGGTTGAGGAATTCCTCAACAGTGACTTGCCTGGGGTAAAGCCTGTCCAAGTCCTCTTTAATCTTAGCTTCTTCCCTCTGAGATGATCCTCAGTTTACACCCTACAGATCTTGTTTGTACATGGTTGTTTGCATTAGACAGTGAGCCCCTTGAAAGCAGGGACTATTTGTTGCCTTTCTTTGTTTTCAGTGTTTAGCACTATGCCAGGCATATAGTAGGCAGCTAATATGTTTGTTGACTTGAAAATGGAATTCAGGTCTAATTTAATTTTATTTTTCAATTAACAAATATTTGTTTTTCTCTCCCTCTTACCTTCCCCAATTGGGAAAAAAAACAAAAAGAAAAACAAAATCCTTGTAACGAATATGTAATAAAATAAAGTCCCACCAAGTCTCATTGTCCTTCTGACTTCTGAGTCCATTACTTCTCATTCATATGGTTAATGTCACAGGGTCCTCTGGACTCTCAGAGAGTCATTGAACTGATGCAGAACTTAGGGTTTTCTGATTACTGTCTCCTCTGTACACCACCTAGCTGCCGTAAAAAGTGGTAGAGCTGGGTCTCCCTCCAGGCTCTACATCCCAAGACTTTTCCTCCAAACCAGTCAATAGTCAGTTAACAAACATTTATCAAGCGTCTACTATGTGCCACGTACTGTACTAAGCACTGGGAACACAAAGAGTCAAAAGACAGTCCCTGCCCTCAAGGAGCTCACATTCTAGTGGATGGATTCAAACCTAATGGATAAAGTAGGGATTCTTAATTTCTTTTTATTTTGGGTGTAGCATGGAGACCTCCTGCAGTCTGGTGAAGCCTCTGGATCCCTTCTGAATTATTTTAAATGGATAAAACAAAACGCATACGATGAAATTATAATAATAACAGCATTTATGTAGCATTTGGCTCTTTACTGTGTTAGCTCATGCAGATCTCACAACAACCATTCTTAGAAGTAAGTATCTCTAGGAAGGAGGGAGGGAAGGAAGGGAAGAAGAGAGGAAGGATGGAAGACATTATTAATGGTCTTCTTTGTGCCAGGCACTGGGTTCAGAGAAGGGGAAGGTCATCTAGCATTCAAGCGCCTACTATGTGCTTTACAAATATGGCTTCATTCAATCCTCACAGTAACTGGGGGAGATGGGTGCTTTTATCATCCCCAGGTGAGGACACTGGCGCATACGGGATAAATTACATTGATTTGCTCAGGGGCGCATAGCTAACAAATGCCGGAGTTAGGACTTGAACTCTTGACTTTCCTGTCTCCAAGTGCTCCGCTTACCATCCCACCCTACCAAGTTTCCAGAATTGCCAAGGCAATTAGTTATGTTGAACTACAGTTAGCACAGCGCCTGGCCCCACTGTAAGTAAACGCTTAATAAACAAACGCCTGTGCACGACTAGACTTCTTTCTAAAAGGCAAATTCGCGTGCTCCCGCCTCCCCAGCCGCGTGGGCAGCTCAGACTCAGGTTCCCCTTGGGGCAGAGGGGCGGGGATGGGCGCTGAGTGCGCACGCGCTGTCCCACCGGCGCATGCGCGCCACCCGGCGTGCCGTCAGCCCAACGACTCCGGGTGTGCGCAGGCGCAGGCCGACATTCGCGAGGCGCCTCGTGAGGGCGTCGTCCTCGAGGCCGGGTGGCTGAGGAGCCTGGGCCGGCCCGCGAGCCCGCGAGCCGGGGCCATGTCGGACACCTTCTCGGCGTGGGACTACGCGGTGTTCCTGGGCCTGCTGCTCGTCTCGGCCGCCCTGGGCGTCTACTACGCGTTCGTGGACGGCGGCCAGAGCACGGAGGCCGACTTCCTCATGGCCCGGCGCGGGCTGACGGCGGCGCCCGTGTCCCTGTCGCTCGCGGCCAGCTTCATGTCGGCCGTCACCGTGCTGGGCACGCCGGCCGAGGTGTACCGCTTCGGGGCCGCCTTCCTGCTCTTGGGCGTCGCCTACGCCCTGGTGGTCATCGTCGCGTCCGAGATCTACATGCCGGTCTTCTACCGGCTCGGGGTCACCAGCACCCACGAGGTGGGCGGGGCAACGCGGCTGGTGGTGCGCCTGTTGTGTGCGGGCACGTGGCGGGGGGGAGGGGAAAGATATACAGAAAAGCTGAAAGAAAACCCAGCCTGCTCTCGGAGACCTTACCTTCTGGGAGGCAGAGACAATTTAGGAAACTCACAGGAGCACAAGATAGAAGGGCATGTGGTGTGGAAGCACCTACTGTGTGCCATTAGACTAAGCAGGGGGGTGCAGGATATAAAGAAAGGCCAAAAACAAGTCATTTACCATTGAAGCACTTACTACACTCAGGCACTGAGGTAAGGGGGAGGGGAGGGTACAAGATACAAAGAAAGGCCCCTGGAAAAAAAGTCTTCTTTTAAGTCCCAGCTGAAAATTTCACCTACAAGAAGCCTTTCTTGATCTTTCTTAATGCTAAGCCCCCCCCCCTTTTTTATTCCCTGAATTGAAAATAATTTTTTTAATTTAAAAGCCAGAATAACAAAACAAACCAATCAGCCAGTAGACTTTTAGCTCTTTGGCAAAGGCATTTTCAAATGGCATACCAAGAACCATAGTTAACAAAGAATTTTTCCCCAAACCAGTGGAATGGTCTAACACCACTACACACAGACGCGCTGGGAGGTTGGAGGGAAGAGTGGTCACAAACTTAAAGAACGACGGGAAAAGTATATGAAACACATGAGGTCGATACAAATCACTACTCCAGAATTGCAGGGCCTCAAAGCCCTTTCTCTAGAGGCTCCTCCAGAAGTTCGCTACATGGTATCTGTGATGGACAAGTTACTCCACTGTTCATCAGGGCTGGTGTTTGTGATTAGTGGCAGCCATGATGGACTTGTTCCTCGTGTGGTGTGGTTTCTGAGCTGGGTGGGTCAGTCTACTGATGAGCTGGGTCGTGTAAGTCATTTGGCTGTTATACTGGCTCTTCACAAAGTTCATATGCTCTAAGGCTTTCCTAGACCAATTGTTCAGCCACTGAAATACAGTCAGACAGGCAGACAAGACACTTTGCTACTGGACTCTTCTCAGGGCACGATAGCTTGCTGGGTAAGTCAACCCTCTGGCCTTTGTGGGCTTGTTTTTTGATAGGCAGCTACAGTCACCATCAGCCAACATCTTGTCTGGGTCACACTGTGCTTTATCCAGCTTGGGTACTACAATAGTTTCAGCTAGGGCAACTATCATGGGCTGAGAATTAGTAGAAGCCTCTCCATTTTGACTCTAAGGTTCATCACCTCCGGTCGAAAGGTAGAGTTTAGCTTTGTTTTGTTTTTGTTTCATAATCTTTCTTGATTCAAAGCCAGTTCCCTCACTAAGTTATTTTACCTTGTCTTTTGGTGTTCAGCACCATTTTGGTCAGTTAAATTTCTTAGACATTGTTTGTTTGTTTGTTTTGGTGGAAGGGGAGGAAAGATGGAGCCTGGGCCTAGAAGCAATTGAGTTATTCATACCTCAGATACTTCTTCAAGTATAGATGTTTATCTTGCATCTGAATGTCTTTTTTTTATGTTGGATGTCTCTATGATTTCACTTGTTGTTGTTGTCCAGTCATGTCCTACTCTTTATGAATCCCATTTGGGGTTTTCTTGGCAAAGATACTAGAATGGTTTGCATTTCCTTCTCCAGCTCATTTTCTAGATGAAGAATTTTTATGTCTTTCTTGAATCTTGTACTTGAAGATCAATTTTTTTGTTGAGCTATGGCCTTTTTATCAGGAAGGTTTGGAAGTCTCCTATTTCATTGAATATCCATCTCCTCCTTGGAAAAATCATGCTCATTTTTGCAGGTAGTTGATCCTTGGCTGGAGTCCAAGCTCCTTTGCATGTTCCATGCCCTGCGGTCCTTTAATGTAGAAGCTGCAAGGTCCTGTGTAATTTCTGTGGTTCCATGATATTTAAAACTGTTTCTTTCTGGCTGCTTGCAGCACTTCTCTTTCATCTGGTAATTTTGGAATTTTGCTATTAATTTCTTGGCGTCTTCAATTTGGGATCTCTTTCAGGTGGTGAGCGGTGTATTCTTTCTATGGTTATTTTACCTTCTGGTTCTAGGACTTCAGGGCACTTTTCCTATATGATTTCTCAAAGATACTGTCCAGGCTCTTCTTTTCATCATGATTTTCAGGTAGTCCAATAATTTTTAAATTGTCTCTCCTGAATCGATTTTCCAGTGGGTTGTTTTTACCAATGAGGTATTTTACATTTTCATCTGTTTTTTTCATTTTTTTGTTTGTTACTGATTCTTGCTGTCTCATAGAGTCATTAATTTCCATTTTTCCAATTCTAGCTTTTAACAGATTGTTTTCTTCTGCTAGTTTTTGTACTTCTTCTTCAGTTGGCCAATTGTGTTTTTTAGGGAATGCCGCAGGGTACTTACCCACCTGGGGCCCCTTGTAGGTCTGCCTCCTTGGTTTTGCTGAGGCACTGGGAGACCGGTTTGCTGGCTGCTGCACTGCTGCTCTCTGTCTTTCTTCTAGTTCAGCTGTTCCAGGTTTTTCCTGGGGTGATATTTTCTGGCTTTTCAGATTGGAGAGAGTGAGAGCGACTACCTTTTTACTCTGCCATCTTGGCTACTGGAAGCCAGGCCCCCTATTTTTTAAAGATAATTTTTATCCCCCCCCCAATTACATGTAAAAGCAATTTTTTCATTATTTTTAAGTTTTGAGTTCCAAATTCTATTCCTCCCTCCACTCTCTCTTCCTGAGATGGAAGCAATCGGGCATAGGTTATACATGTGCAATCATGTAAAATTTCCATATTAGTGATTTTGTGCAAGAAGTCTTGACAAAAAAAGTAAAAAATAGTGTGCTTCAGTCGTAAAAACATCAGTTTTTTCTCTGGAGGTGGATAATGTTTTTCATTCATAAGTCCTTTGGAATTGTCTTGGATCATTGCATTGCTGAGAGTAGCCAAGTGATTTACAATTCTTCATCAAACAACATTGCTGTTATTGTGTTCTCCTGGTTTTGCTCACTTCCCTCTGTATCAGTTCATGGGTGTTTTTCCAGGTTTTTGTGAAACCATCGCCCCATATACTTTTTTACCACACAACAGTATTCTATTACATTCATATACCACAACTTGTTCAGCCATTCCCAGATTGATGGGCATTGCCTCAATTTCCAATTCTTAAGCTACCACACAAAGTGCTGCCATAAATATTTTTGTACGTGTGGGCCCTTTTCCCTGTTTTATAATACCTTTGGGATACAGACCTGGCAGTGGTATTGCCGGATCAAAATGTGTATTGATAGGGCCTTTTATCCTATGGCCTTATTTGTGGGTAGTTGTTTGTGTGTTGTCTCTTTTATCAGATTTTGAGAACCTTGAGGGCATGGACTGTCCTTTGCCTTTCTTTGTATACCCAGTGCTTAGCACTGTTTCCGGCATATACTAGGCACTTAATAAATGCTTATTTACTGACTATTTTTTGACCAATTTCCATTCCATTGCCCTTTGGGAGAGACACTGCAAAGTACCCCAGAGAGGTGTGGAAAACAAGAGGGGGAGACTGAAGGCAAGGAAAGTTAGTGCAGTGGCTTTTTCAGACCTCATACTAGCTATTCCAATGTGGAAAAAAAAGTTAAGTGTGTATACTATGTTCCAGGTTTGGGGATTCAAAGGCTGAAAGAAAAACCAGTCTGCTCTTGAGGACCTTCCCTTCTCTTGGGAGACCAAGAAACAAGTTAGGAAACTGCTCCAGGAGTACAAGAGAGATGGAGTGAGCAGAGAAGCAGTAGTGGGGTCCAGGCACGCACGTTTCAGGGATGTCTTTGGGATTTCTTCCCCAAACTGTGGAAGAGATAGCCCAATTTACACAGGGTTTTCCCCGAAGTCTTTTCAGGATATTAAAGCTTATTAAGTTTATTCTTGTGAACAAGTTTTCCCGTGGTCACAGAGTTGCTGGACTCTCCCTTGCTTGCAGGGTTAAAATATAAAGACCCTGAGGGGTTGCACTTACCAGCTTTACTTTATTCACATTGTTCTTTCACACAGACTTCACATTCTTGCTTGATCTGAACATTTACTGGATTTGATAAGCTGGCTTCTGCCAGAAACAATTCCTCCATGCGCTCTTCTCCCTGTACTTAATAATCTCTAGTGGCTCTCTGTCATCTCCAGCACTTTGTCATTCAGAGAAGCACCCTCTCTCCAAGTTATTTCCTTTCACTGCGATCCAGTAAAATGTTCCTTGAACAAGATTCTTCATTTTCCTACTGCAGGCATTTTCATATTCTGTCTCCCAGACCTGAATGCTTCCTTCTCTAAGTATCAGCTAAAATCCCACCTTCTGTAGGAAGCCTTTTCCAATCTTGATTCTTGTGCCTTTCCCATGTTGGTTATCTCCAGGTTTTATTTTTTCTTTTTTTTTGTTGGCTAGGTAGTGGATTTAAGTGACTTGCCCACAGTCACACAGCTAGTAAGTGTTTTGTGTCTGAGGCTGGATTTGAACTCGGGTCTCACTGAATCCAGGGCCGGAGCTTTATCTACACTGTGCCACCTAGCTGTCCCGTCTCCAGGTTGGCTTGTGTATATAGCTTGTTTGTGCATAGTGTTTTGTCTTCCCCATTAAATTGTGAGGTTCTTGAGAGGAGGGACTGGCTTTTACCTTTTTTTTTATTCCCAGTGCTTAGCACAGTTCCTGGCATGTAATAGGTGCTTAATAAGTGTTTATTGACTGTCGACTGACTATTACCTTCTTTTGGATATTCTGAAGTTTAGGAATGTCCTTAAACTGAGGTGTCTGGAACTGAACACAATACTCATTGATAAAAATGATAAACTGTGCAGAGAAAAGCACAGGTCCTTGGGGGGTGCTCTGTCCAGTGATTCAATCACTTTTAAACCTGAGTCATTGTCTAATCTATATTGCTCCATATTTTTCCAGAGGAATAGTAGGAGATACTATTTCAAAAGTTTTGTTAAAATTTTGATAAACAATATCTATAACATTCTCCTAGTTCAGCAGTCTTGTAAAAACAAAAAAGGAAATGCTGTAGATTTAGTTTACCTGGATTTTGGCAAAGCATTTGATAAAGTATTTTATCTTACTATGTGAAAAGCTGGAGAGATGCAAATTAGATGGTGATACAGTTAATTATTTCAAGTAGTTTTTTAGTTGATTGTCTGGTTCTGTTAAATATATGATCATATCATCTGCAGAGAATGATAGTTTTGTTTCCTCATTGCCAATTCCTACAATTTCTTTTTCTTCTCTGATTGTTATAGCTAACATTTCTAGTACAATATTGAATAATAGTGGTGGTAATGGGCATCCTTGCTTCAAGAACACTGATCTTATTTGGGAAGGCTTCCAGAGGTCTGTCGTATCCAACTTATCTAAAATTATATTTACTTCTTTAACTTCTTTCTTGTTTATTTTATGGTTAGAGTTATCTTGTTCTGAGAGGGAAAAGTTGAGGTCTCCCACTACTATAGTTCTATTGTCTATTTCCTTCTGTAATTCACCTCCTTTAAGATGCTATACCACTTAGTACATATATGTTTAATATTGATATTACTACATTGGCTATGGTACCTTTTAGCAAGCTGTAGTTTCCTTCCTTATCTTTTAATTAAATCTACTTTTGCTTTTACTTTGTCTGAGATCATGATTGCTACTCCTGCCTTTTTTTAAAATTTAACTTCAGTTTAAGCACAGTAGATTCTGCTCCAGCCCCTTACTTTTACTCTACGTGTGTCTCTGTGCTTAAAGTGTTTCTTATAAACAGTATATTGTAGGATTCTGGTTTTTAATCCACTGTGCTATCTGCTTCTGTTTTATGAGAGAGTTAATTCCGTTCATATTAACAGTTATGATTATTAACTATGTATTTCCCTCCTTCCTATTTTTCTTCCTGTTTATCCTTCTTGCTTTCCCTTCATCCTTTCCATCCTTGCCAGTGTTTTGCTTCTGATCGCTGCCTCCCCCAATCTGCCCTCCTTTCTTTCAGTCTCCCCCTCTTTACTTTTTTCTCCTTCTCTGTAAGGTAAGATAGATTTCTCTACCTAACTGACTGTGTATGTTATTCCCTTTTTGAGCCAATATGGATGAGAGTAAGGTTCAAGTGTACACAGTGCCCATCCTCCCATCTTCCCCTTCACTGTAATAGGTCTTTCTTTCCTCTTCATGTGGGATAATTTACCTCATAATCTTTCCCTTCTTTCTGTTCTTAGTGTCATTTTCTTTCTCGCCCCTTAAATTTTTTTTATGTCCTACCCTCAATCACCTTATTCTTCTTATTCACTAACTTCTGCTTCTGTATACTCCTTCTAACTACAGTAGTAGTGATACAGTTTTTAAGAATTACAAGTATACATCTTCCCGTGTAGGGATGTAAACAGTTTAACCTTACTGAATCTCCTGTGTTTTCTCTTTCCTTTTTACCTTTTTATGCTGCTTTTGAATCTTGAAATTGAAAATAAAATTTTTTGTTCAGCTCTAGTCTTTTAATCAGGAAAGCTTGACAGCCTTGTATTTCATTAAATGACCATTTTTTTCCCCCTGAAGGATTATGCTCAGTTTCAAAAGGTAGGTGATTCTTGATTATAGTCCTAGCTCCTTTGCCTTTCAGAATATTGTATTCCATGCCCTCCGATCCTTTAATGTTGAAGCTGCTAAATCCTGTGTAAATCTGACTGTGACACCCTGACATTTGAATTGTTATTATTATTTTTTAAGGCAGTTGGGATTCAGTGACTTGCTCAGGGGTCACACAGGTAGTAAGTGTCAGGTGTTTGATCTGAGGCCAAATTTGAACTCAGGTCTTCCTGACTTCAGGGCTGGTCCTCTATCTGCACCACCTAGCTACCCAACATCTGAATTCTTTCTGGCTGCTTGCAGTATTTTCTCCTTGACCTGAGAATTAATGGATTTTGGCTATAATATTTTTGGGAGTTCATTTTGGATCTTTTTCCAGAGGTGATTGGTGGGTTCTTTCAGTGTCTATTTTACCCTCTGGTTTTAGGACATCAGGGCAGCTTTCTTTGATAATTTCTTGAAGTATGATGTCCTGGTCCTTTTTTTCATCATAGCTTTTGGTTTAATAATTCTTAAATCATCTGTCCTAGATATATTTTCCATGTCAGTTGTTTTTCCAATGACATATTTTACATTTTCTTCTATTTTTTATTCTTTTGATTTTGTTTAATTGATTCTTGATGTCTTATAGAGTCAGTAGCTTCCACTTGTCCAGTTCGAATTTTTAAAGACTTATTTTCTTCAACAAAAGTTGCTTCAATCTTGATTTAGACACCATCAGTTCTTTCTCTGGGGATAGATAGCATTTTTCATCTTAAGACCTTGAGAGTTGTCATGGATTGTTGTATTGCTGAGAATAGCTAAGTCATTCATAGCTGATCATCTTACAATAAATATTGCTGTTACTTTGTACCCAGTACATTCACTTTGCATCAACCCATGTAAGTCTTTGCAAAATCATCCTGCTCATCATGTCTTATAGTACAATAGTATTCTATTGTAATTACATGATATAAATTATTCAGCCATTCCCCAACTGATGTGAATCCCCTCAATTTCTAATTCTTTACACCCAGAAAAGCTGGGTGTTTTTTGTTTTTTATCTCTTTTGGATATAGACCTAGTAGTGATACTGCTATGTCAAAGGGTATGCATGGTTTTATAGCTTTTTTGTAGCCCTTTATTGCCCAAGTTCCAAATTGCTCTGTGGAATGGCTTAATCAATTCATAACTCTGACAACAGTACATTAATGTCTCATTTTTTCCACATCCCCTTCAACATTTGTCATTTACCTTTTCTGTCCTGTTATCTCATAGGTATGAGGTAGTACCCAGAATTGTTTTAACTTGCATTTCTCCAATCAGTAGTGAGTTATAATATTTTTCATACAGCTATAGATAGCTTTAATTACTTCATCTGAAAACTGATTATATCTTTTGCTCATTTATCAGTTGAGGAATGGCTCTTATTTTTATAAATTTGACACAGTTCTCTATATGTTAGAGAAATGAGGCCTTTATCAGAGAAACTTGCTTCAAAATTTTTTTTTTACAGTTTCTATTGCTAACTGTATTTCCCTTTGTCCTATTTTCCCTACCCCCCTTTATTCTATTCTCTCTCTCCTTTCACCCTGTCCCTCCTCAAAAGTGTTTGGTAATGATTACCCCTTCCCTCATTCTGCCCTCCCTTCTGTCATACTCCCGTCCCCCATCTCTTATCTCCTTCTCTTTCTATTTTCCTGTAGGATAAAATAGATTTCTATACCCTAATTTTTGTACATTTTTTAATGTATTTTTTTGTGCTTCCTTTATCAGGCTGTAGATTTTTTTTCATGATTCTTTTGCATCATTCGCGTTTGTTTTTCTTCTACCTCTGCATGTAGACATTTTAACATTATTGTCTTCTTCTGAGTTTGTGCCTTGATCTTCCCTGTCACTGTAATAACTTTCAGTGGTCAGGTATTTTTTTCCCCTCATCTTTCCCATCCTATTTCATTACTTTTAAAGCTGAACTCTGTTCCTGGGGTGAAAGAGGCACTGTCCCATGCTTCTTGTGCTGGGGGCTGTAGGCCCTGGCTGTTTGCCTGGAGCCCACAGGGGATGCTTATGCTGTGCAGGGGTCTGGCACCTTGCCTGGTGCTGTACTGAGGTGTGGGTGGAGTGGGGTAGGGTGGGGGGTAGGGTAGCTGATGTTATTGGTGGGTACAACTGGTTCTGTGCTGAGGAATGTGGTGAGGGGGGGGATTGGTGCTTGTGCCTGCCTGTTTGCCCGGTGCCGTACTGGGGCTTAGAACCTTCTGCTGGCTTGTTGAGGTGGGGTCTGCTGTTGGCTTGCCAGGATGCTGCCTGCCCTGGAATGCACTCGTCTTTTACCTGAGTAGGACAGACCTTTCCTGCCAAAGTTGTCACAGACTAGAAAATTGTTTCATCCTGTCTTTTTGTTGGTTCTGCCATTCCAGAATTCATTCTGGGGTGCTATTGTATAGTTGTTTGGAGGGGAATATGGGAGGATCCAGGCAATTTCCTGCTTATTCTGCCATCTTGACTCCCGTCAACAAGGAGTGTTTTGTTTGAGGGACAGCAGGTAGGCCAGTGTCACTTTATGAAAGAATGCGTGGCGGAGAGTAAGAAGGACAGGAAGGTTGGAGGTGGGAGTTTGTGAAGATCTTTAAATGCCAGAGTGTTTTTGAGGGCCACTGGAGCTTATTAAATAGAAGGGTTGACATGTTCATATCTGCATTTTAGGAAAATCTGTTTGGTGGCTGAATGGAGGATGGATTTGAGTGGGTAGAGACTTGAGACAGGCTGATCCGGCTGCAGGATATTGCAGTAATTGAGGTGTGAAGGGATGAAGGTTTGCACTAGAAAAGTGTCAGAGGAAAGAAGGTGTCGGTATATTTGAGAGACGTTACAAAAGTGAAGTTGACAGAACCTTGGCAACAGATTGGTTGGGGTGGGGTAAAAGATAGTAAGGAGTCCAGGATGACTCCTAGGTTGCAACCCTGAGTGACTAGGAGGGTGATGGGCCCGTGAAAGTAATTGGGAAGCTTCAAATGGAGGGAAGGGTCTTAAGGGGAAAGATAATGAATTTCATTTGGGACATGATGAGTTTAAGGTATCTACTGGACATTTAGTACTAGATGTCTGAAGAACAGTTAGATATGTGAAACTGGAAGTCAGCAGAGAGGTTGGGGAAGATAGATAAATTTAAGAATTATCAGCCTAGAGATGATAGATAATTAGTTCATGGGGCCAAAGTCCATCTCCCTGCAACTCTTGTTGGATTTTTGTTTTCTTTTCCTAAGGGTTTTTTAGTTTCCGTTTTTCTGTTTTACTCTTTCTGGTGTCAGTGTTTCCTTTTCATTTTTCCTTTGCATGTAGGAGCTGATGAGATTAGCAAGTGAAGTAGTATAGAGGGAGAAGAGAAAAAGGCCCAGGATAGAACCCTGAGGGACACCTGTGGTTAGAAGTTGTGGTCTTGATGAGGATTCAGCAGAGGAGACTAGGAAGTAATAGTCAGGTAGGAGGAGAGCCAGGAGAGAGTGGTTTCCTGGAAACTAAGAGAGAAGACAGTATCAAAGAGAAGAGGATGATTGTTTTGGAGGCTTCAGAGAGTTCAGGAACAATGAGGATTCAAAAAAAGGCCATTGCATTTGGGAACTAGATAATTAGTACTTTTGAAGAGAGCAGTTTTGGTGGAATAATGAAGTCAGAAGCCAAGTTGTAGAGAGTTAAGAAGAGTGGGAGAAGTGGAGATATCTGTTGTAGACTGCTTTCAGCAGGATTTTTGCCACAAGGGGCAGAAGAGATACAGAATGATAATGGTCGTGGAAGGATCAAGTGAGAAATTGTTTTGGATGGGAGAGACACGGTCATGTTTGCAGGGAGTAGGGAAGGAGTTAGTGGACCGGGAAAGACTTCAAGATAAGTGAGAGAGTTGGGACGAATCTCTTGGAGGAAACAGTTTGGAAGCGGACCACTTATGCAGGTAGAGGGTTTTGTTTTGGCAACAAGTAGAGCCACATCTTTGTGTGAGACAGGTGAAGGAGATAGTGCAGAAAGCATCTATCTGGGTGATAGGAGATGATGAAGAAGGAGCTCTCAATGAATGGAATCTATTTTTCTATAAAATATGAGGCAGATTTTTCATCTGAGAGAATGGGGAGAGAGGGAACCATGGGAGGTTTGAGGAAGGCAAAAATCTTTGTAAGAGCTGCTGTGGAGAGTGGGATGGTGAGTAGATAAAGGAAGTATAGAAGAATTGTCTAGCATCAGTGAGAGTCCATTTGAGGTTGTGTGGCATTAATTTGTAGTGGACCCAGTCAGCATGTTTGCATGATTTTCTTTAACTTTGTTCAACAGCAGTTGTGTAGGACCACAGTCAGCAAATGGTGGGAGTGATCTAAGACTAAGGCTTAGCAGGGTGTAATTGTTGACAAGAGAAGAGGGCCCAGGGGCTTAAGAAGGCATTGTAGCGTTGAACTGGTTCACTATCTTAAAAGATGGAGAAAAAAGGAGAAAGTACCTAGTGGACAGTTGATGGCCTAGAAGAGAACTGTATGGTTGAGGGATTGGAGGTCATAAAGTGTGGATGAAGAATAGAGTTTAGAAATTTAGAGGAAGTCTATGGTTAGAGAAGAGATGTCAGAGTTCATGAACTCTGGAGGGTAGTACATTCATGAGTGGTGGCAAAATCGGAGGGTCTGACCCATCTTTGTAGGGCTGAGTTGGATTGGAAGAATAGATCTTCAGAAATGAGTAGATTGAGGACTTGAACGGAGGTGTTTGAGGGAGTTTGAGTATATTTGTTGAAGTTCCCTAGTATGGCATCTGAAAAAGAGTTGGGGAGGAGAGAAAGTTTGTAAGCTAGATATTGAACTTGTTGAGGAAAGAATAGGAGTGTCCTGGAGGTTTGTAGACAACAGCTACTAGGATTTTGATTGGATGGAATTGAACATATTGCTATATTCTGATTTAAAATTTGTTCGGACATTTATTAATGATACTGGTCTTGATGGTCTTTTTCTGTAGTTTAAAGAGCAAGACTTTCTCCAAACAAATTGGATAATATACTATCCTTATTTTTGAAAACAGATTATGTAGCAGTGAGATGATTTGTTTAAGTGTTTGATAGAATTCTTTTGTGAATCCATTTACTCCTAATTTTTTGTTTTAAGCTGACTATTAAAACTCATTTAATGGCCTTTTAAATTTCTTTTTTCTGATGGCAGTTTGGTTAGATGATCTTTCTTGTTTTATGAATTTGGATATTTAATTTTAAAAAAAGATAGTTCCCCCCCTCCCCTTTTAAAAAAATTTCAGTTAGTTGGGCTTTAAGTATACAATTGTCTCTGATAATATTTTTATTTACTCTTCATTTGATTTCTCCTTTTTTAGTTGGTAACAGTTTTTCTCTATAGTTAACTGTTTTACTTATTAAAGACTCAACTTTGTTTTATTTATTTAAATTGTTTAAAAAATGCATTAAAATTTCTTTTGATCTTATGGTGTCATGCTTATTTTAGATATATTTTATAAACGGCAAACATCAATCTTTTTATTTTTGCTTATAGAAGCACTTAGCTTAATAAATTTGCCTCTAAGAACTTATTTAGCTACATTCAATACATGTTGATACATTGTATAGTTATTGTTTAACATTTTATTGTTTCTGTAATCTGTTCTTTGATTCAAGCATTATCAGACTGATCATGTTTTTAGCTTGTGCATTTTGAAGTTCCCTTATTGATTACAATCCTACTTTTCTTATGTATTGTGAACATAGTATTTAAAATGTGTTTTTCTACATTAATTTACAAATACCTTTATGCTTACAGTATAAACAGTTTTTTAAATGTCCCATACTTCTTTCAGTAAAAAGTAGATTCTTATAAACTCATTTAATTTTCTTTATTTTATTATCTAATCTATTTTTTCCAACATTTTGTTGAATTCTGTAACCTCTTTATTTTTCTGCCTGACCTTGTGAAAGTGGAGTGTCTAGAACCTTTTGCAGTTCAGTTAGTTTTTTAAAAAAATACATACTTTCTCTGTCATTAGCGGGTGTATGTGTGTATGTGTGTACTTCGTTACTCTTGATATAAGTATTGATAGAATTTAACTGTTAATGGTGCCTTTTATCTTTACATAGCAGCCTTCTGAGCTCATACTGTTTGGTCAGCCACAGTTGAACACATTGTACCTTGACCCTAACATAGGGATGTCATTTTCGTCCTCTTTGAGGAATGTTAAGGCCTCTCCTGAACTTGTCTTTTTGAGTTGCCATTTTTTCCAGAACCATTGGATCCAGAGTATGCAGGGGCCCTTTGAGTGTGTTAAGGATGAAGCCCCACCCTGAGCTCATACAATTTGTTGTTTGAACCCAAGCTGAACTCCCTGTGTATTCTTGGGAGTCAAGACAGGTGCCAGTTAGTCTGCACCAATTGGGAAACTGTTTCTGTAGCAGGATCCTTGTAGATAAGCAGACCCTCCTGTCTTCACAGTCTAGCAGTTCCCAGGAGAAAAGAATGCTGCTTTTGCCATCTCCTTGCTTCTCCACTTTGAGAGGGGTTTTATCTTTTTCTCACCTTTACTTCACCTTTCCCTCTCTCATTCTACTCTCCTTTAGGAGATTTCTGGCTTCTCCTTCTCCCTTTTTTGTACTTCTATGTGATTGTGAACTCTTTGCTTGGGCTTTGGGTTCCACATGCATCTTCATTTTTCTATTATTAATAGAAATATTAATAGAAATTAATAGATTTATTAAATCTTGTTGCAATACACATGTCTCATTGATTGTGGTTTTGTTTTTGGTCAGCAGAATGAAGGGCAACAACCAGGAGCCATGTTTATCTCCCTTAATTCTTTTTAACTTGAATTCAGCTTTGTCCAAAATTATAACTACATAAACCATGACCCAGAACTCATGACTCTTCTGTGGATTTGGTTTAGTTTTGGGAACTTTTCATGTACCATCTCTGTGGCTCATGCCACCACTAAGGGTTTCCCCTAGAAACGTTAGAATTTGACTCTTGTCTCCAGAAAAAATGAAGAAGGTCAACACCCATGTAAAAAACTCAGGCTAGGTAACAAGCCATCATACTTAGGGCAGGCTTTATTTGATGTAACAACAAAGCACCAAAAAAAATCCATAAAGGACTCGTATCGTCTTCTCTCCTTCTTTGGAAGGCTCCACCTTCCTGAGGGGTCTCTACAACCTTGCGTGCTTGTTTTAAGTTAGGTGCCTCCTTTCTCCTTTTAAAAGCAGGAAGAGCTTGGGGTTGCTGGATAGTCGATGGGAATGGGCAGAGTTCTCCACACTCCTAGACTGTGGACAGGGCCTCCTTACCAGGGGAAAGCCTGAATTCAGGGGTGATGAATTTCTTGCAGCCTCTGCCACTGAAATACTATTGAGTGTACATATTGGAGCACCAGGGAAACTCAAGGATTGGGCTTGTTTTTTTGCATCTTGGTTCTCACTTGATCCAGTAACTCATTCTCTTTTGTATGGTAACTTGTTATTTTAATCCTCTTCATTTGGTGCCCATCTCTTAGTCCATGTGATTTTTTTGTTGGGGGCAGGTTGGGGGGAGGAAAAAGGAATGGACATAGGCTTCTTCTAGGAACCTTGGCCTGTGACTTTCCCTTCTCTTTACGTTTCTGTCTCTAGTTCTGCACACTGTGCTCCATGTGTAGCCATCTTTTGAAGGCCATGTTCAAGGGTGTAGTTCATATAGATGAACTAGCCAAGTGTCATCAAAATCCTCCATCAGTTATCCGTGTGCTGTGAGTAGGTGACAAGTACTCAAGAAAAGACCACTTTATACTTTATCAAGGTATTATCAGTGCCAGAACCACTTTATACTTTATCAAGGTATTATCAGTGCCAGAACCACTTTATACTTTATCAAGGAGGTATTATCAGTCAAATGGGAGTTGGAAAGGAAAGGAGAGAAATGGTGAGATTTTAGCCCAGGGTAATGGAATAGGAACAGAGAAAAGAAATGGTGAGAATGGATTCTGGATTCTGTGCTTTTGAAGTCCTGGTAAAGTAGAGGATAAAGGGATGGGAAAAGAAGAGGAAGAAGCAAAGTCATACAGTCAGTTAATAAATTTGCAAAGCATTGACTATTGTGCCAAGAGCTGGGGATACAACTACTGAAAAGTCATTCCCTACCCTCAAGGAGCTTACAATCTAATGGGGGAAGAAGCTGAAAGGGGGCTGTGAGGAAGGTACTTTGGGGAGGGTTGGGTGGGAAATGAAGAGGTTGCTGTACCCTCCTTAAATAGAGGTTTTTAGAGGAGTTCTTTCCTCTGTTATTAATCAGAGGGGCCCCAGGGAGGATCTGTGGTCATGAAAAGTAGGATCCAGGTCCTTAGTCCTAGGTCCTACACTGTACTAGGTGAAATTAGTGATTTAGCACAGAGTTGTCAAAACTTACCTGTAGACCACTTGTTTAGCCCACAAAAAAATGCCCCAGTAGGTCCCAAACCAGATCAAAATACAATTGGGAAATGTTTAACTAAATAAAAATGCATATTTAGATTACATATTTTTTTGAAGTCTATATGTGACCTCAAGGGATCCCTTTCCATTTGAGTTTGACACCACTGATTTATTAACACGTCATACTCGGTTTGTCCCAGCAGTTCTTAGGTGTGTAGGCCTCCACCATGTTGCCCACATGCTAAGAAATACAATAATACTAGGGCATAAAAAATATCATATTAGACTTTTATCTGATAGAATTGGGGGTGTGGTATGTGCTGGAGAGTACAAAGGTCTTAGAAATGAGAAATCTGAAAAGAGGAAAGGGGAATTTAAGTGTGCAGTCGACTTCATTTTTTTTTCCCCTTGGAGGAAGTTTGGTATATAGGGAGTAGAGAGTTGGCACATGCACCAAGAAGATCTAGGTTTGAGTCCTGTCTCTGACACATCCTGGGTGACCTGGATCAAGGTATTTAAGCTCTCAGTGCTCCAAGCAACTGTCTATGGCTGTTGCAAAGAAGGTGCTGACCAGTGTTGATTGGAGTTCTCCAAATCAGTGAGCTCACAGATCCAATCCCTATCTCTAATGTATTAATGAATTCTGCCTGTCCTCCCTCATCTTGCTTTCCCATTCTTTGTTTTGATGTGCAGATTATATTGTCTGTGTATTTTTCCCACAGTCTTCTCATTGTCTTTGTGACTGGGTAGAGGGAGGTGGGAGATGGAGCAAGTGGTTTTATTTCCAGGCTTCTGCAATCCTGAGCTGGATAGGACCTAAGTAAAATCCTGACTGTTCCAGTCTTGGACAGCTAAACAATCTGAGGAGAAGAGTGGTTGCATCTGAAGCAACAGTTACTTTATTGGCTATATCTCTTCCTCATCCTCTGTTCTCACAACATTATATTCTTCTCATGGCAGGTATTGCCTAGAGTATATATGTATGTATGTAAGTATGTGTTCTGCATCTTCAGTCCATCACTTTTCTTGTCAAGAGGTGAGTAGTGTGCTTCATCACTGGTACTCTGGAATTATGGTTGGTCATTTCATTTATTAGAGTTCTTAAGTCTTTCAGAGTTTATTTTATAACATTGTATAAATTGTTCAGCTTTTGCTTACTTCATTCTGTATCAGTTCATATATTTTCCTACTTGCTCCTCATCTGTCCCTTTGATCAGTTCTCATGGTATAATAAATATTCTGTTACATCCATATACCATAATTTGTTCAGCCATTTCTTTCTTGATATTTACTTGTTTCTAGTTTTTTTTTTTTCCATTGCAGAAAGAGCTGCTGTAGGTGTAGGGAATTCTTTCTTTAAGCTGTTTAGGGTGAAAGGCCTGGTAGTTAGATCACTGTCAAAAATGTATGCAGTTTAGTGGCTTTTTGGGCATAGTTAAATTGCTTTCCAGAATGGCTGGACCATTTCACGGTTTTCATCAACTTTGCATGAATATGCATATTTTTCCTTTGCCCCTTCTAACCCAGTGGTGTTAATTTGCATTTTGACTAATTACTAGTGACGTGAAGCATTTTTTCATCTGGTCGTTGATAGATTGCATTTCTTTTTTTAAAAACTGCCAGTTCTTGTCCTTTGACCATTAATAAATTGTGAAATGACTCTTGTTATCCATTTGAATCAGTTTTTTCTATAAATCTTGGAAATGAGAACTTTATCAGGTAAAATTGCTGCAAAAATCTTTTTTCCCCCTAGTTAACTGTTTCTTTTCCAATTGTAGTTGCATCTGTTTTGTTTGCGCAAAATTTTAAAAATTTTATGTGATCAAGTTTCTCCATTTTATCTCTGTCATCATCCCTAGCTTTGGTTTGGTTGTGATCTAGTGGATAGCTGCCCCTGAGCCAGGACAACTTGGGATCAAATAACTGTCTCTGATCTATACTGTCTGAGTGACTCTGGGCAAGTTGTGGAAGATCTCCATGCTTCCTAGATGTGAAAGGTGATTTCTGTCTGGCTTTTCTCATCTGTTTAAGATGGGATCTTTTATCTCTAAGTTCAGCATTCATTTGGAGCATTTCTTGGTGTAGCTTCTTGTTCTTTTTCACCAGTTTGTGCAATATATTTACTTATCTCTGCCAGTGAGTTACTTTTATTTTGAGGTTCTATGTTTTCTTGTCATCCTTTCTCTTAGAATAATAATTACACACTTTTAATAATTTAAGGTTTATTTGTTTAGTCACAATCAGGTGAGGTAGGCAGTGCTGCAAGTATTATCATTATCCTTATTTTATAGATGAGGAAACTGAGGCTCTGAGAACTTGTGACTTGTCTGTTGTCGCACAGCTTGAGCCAGCAGGCATTTATTAAATGCTTACCATGTGCCAGATGCTGTGCTATAAGCACTGGGGACACAAAGAAAGGTGTGAAAGAGGTCACATTTTAATGGAAGAGACAACAATCTTGTGCATACAAGATAAATGCAGAATATATGGAAGGTAATCTCTGAGAAAAGGCATATTAGCAGGAATGGGTGTATACCTGGAGAGGCGTCTTGCTGAAGGTGGGATTTGAGCAGTCATTCAGAAAATTAAGGAAACAGAGGTGGAAGTGAGGAAGGAGAGCTTTCTGGACCTGGAGGATAGCAGTGAAAAGGTTTGGAGTCCGGATGTGGTGTGTGAGGGATAAAAGCTTGATTGTGGAGGGGAGCAAGTGTTGTAATGAGACCGATAGGGCAGTGTGATGACGGGCTTTGCAAGCTAGATAGACGACTTTGACTTTTTTGACTTGATCCTGGAAGTAATAGGAAGCCACTGCAGTTTTTTGAGTAGGGTAGTGACATGGTCAGACTTGCTTTTGGAAAATTAACTTGTTAGTTAGGAAGTGTCTGGGTTGAATTGGGAACCCAGTATTTGACTTTCTCTAGAATGTATCTTTCTCCCTTTCTACTTATTTTGACTTCTGTTGCTCAGTGCTTTGATCATTGACTTTCTAGTACACAGTCTGACACCGAAGAAGTTGTGGTGATTGGGAAAACAAAGACCTAGAATTCACAAAACCCTGTGCTGGATCAAGACCCTTACCTACCCTGTAGCCCCTCACAAAGTGAAATTGACCTGTTCGAGACCCTGTAGTGGAGGGCATCCCTTCGATGAATTTCTTCAGTTTAACCACTTTTACATAGTCACGGCAACATGATGATTTGCCTTGTTTAAATCTGTAGAGGGATGCTTAGGACTTTACTTAGAACTTGTTACTTGTAGAAAGAAAAAGATGTGCTCAATATTTTGGAAAACTTTTTCCTTTCATATTGCTAATAAAGAATCACTATTTTGTTTATTTGCAGTACCTGGAACTTCGATTTAATAAACAAGTTCGTCTTGTTGGAACAGTTCTCTTTATTGTTCAGATGGTAAGTAATTTAACAAGTTTCTCCTTTGTAATCTGAGTACTTTAAAACTTATTTGTGTATAAATAAATTTCTCAATAAATTAGAATGCATTTGAAAATAGAAAGAACCTATCATTAGATAGGAGAAGGAGCTTGAAACATTAAACATAATGAACAGTGAAATAAATTTTATAATGTTGGAGAATTCATTTGAATATACAGCATCCACTTAGAGAGGAAGCCTTATTTTAGGAAAGATTACTGATGCAGGAAGGTAGCCAGGAGGATGAAAGAGGAACTGTGCAGTATGGGAATTGATTGAAGGGTTGGCAGTGAGTTAATCTAGAGAAGACTTGGGAGTAACATTACAATTGTCCTTAATTTTTTGCAGGGCTGTCTTGTGGAAAAGGGATTAGTCTTGTTCTGCTTTACCCTAGAGGGTGGAACGAGGTGGTGAGGGTTGAAGTTGCAGAGACATGGTATGACAGTATGAGGACGTTGTCTTCATGTGAAGAAATTTTTTCTGATGATTGGGCGGTCTTAAAGTGGAATGAGGTTCCTGGGGGACATGTCAAGGATTCCTTATCACAGAACGTCTTAATTTCTTAGAGTGTCACAAAAGGGGATATCTTTTCAAGTGTGGGTGGGATGAGATCACATCCTGGATCCCTTTCAACACTTAGATTTTGATAATTTAGATCAGATAATTCTTAAAAACAGTTCATTACTACTTCTTTTGCCAAAGAAGTATACAAACCAAAAGTCTTATTCTTTTTTTAAAAAAAATACATTTATTGAGAAGACCTTTTAGGAATTTTAACTTTGAAGCAAGAAGGAAAGAACTTACTATATTGTAATTTAACCAGTCTAGAGCTGTATCCTCTAAACTACTTTAAAGACATAGAGGAAAGAAAAGTCTTTAACACAGATTTTAAATATAAGAGCAACTCATCTTCAGCTCATCTGATGACTTTAAAAGAAAGATTAGATTTTGATAATAGCTAGCATTTATAAAGCACTTTAAAGTTTGCAGAGCTCTTTATAGACCTCATTTGATTTTCCAAGTAGATCTGTGGAGTAGCTGTTATTATTATCTTCATTTTGTAGACAAGGAAACTGAGGCTGAGAGGTTTAAATGATTTGTCCTGTGTTGCACAACTACCGGGTGATCTGAAGTAAGAGTCAGGTCTTCCTGACTCCACGGGCAGTACTCTGGCCACTGTGCCACTTAGCTGCCAATTTGAAATATAATTTGAACTATCACAACAAACTCGGTAGGGTCAGGAGGCTACTGTTTCAAAATAATTGTTCCAAAGTGTATTTCAGGAAAGCATATAAATATGTCCGATAATCTTTTATGCCTCTTAGAGATACTGTTTGATTGTCAGTGTTCCTTATTTGGTTTCTTCTTTTAGATACTGTACATTGGAATTGTTATTTATGCTCCTGCTCTTGCTTTGAATCAAGGTAAGCTTAAAATAATAGCCATTATTTTAAATTATGAATTTATAGTTAATTTTCCAGTGAATTTAAATGACTGGATCACTTAGTGAAGTTAAGCGACAAATTTATGACTTATAAAAATAAGCCACTTAAGTTATATTTGATATTTGCATCCAATATACATTTCTTTTTGATTTAGTCTTCGTCCTTGGATTTCTTTTTCTTTCTGTTCTGTCTGACAAAGACCAAACTCTTGGCCTTTTCTTTTAGTCACAAATTTTGAACTCTGGGGTGCAGTAGTTACAACAGGGATTGTCTGTACTTTCTACTGCTCATTGGTAGCAGTTTATTCAGTATCAGCTCTACTTGTTGAGTTAAATAGTCTGCATGTCTAATCTGAAAGGGAAGATTTCATTTTCTTAAATAAGTTCTAGTCAAACACTCTATTCTAGGGCCTTCTCTCTTTGTATAGTTTCTTTTTGTAACCTCACCAATTCATGTGCTTTTAACTATCATCTCTAGGCAGATGATATTCGCATGATTTATTTATATTGGTAGATTGGAATTACAGATATAATAATGTAAACTGTTTTCTTTAATAGTGATATCTTACACTGAAAAGATCTTTTCCATTTTTAAAAGCGCTGTATCTCATTTGTTCTTCAAGGTTATTTTGTGAATGCAGTGTGAACAGGTATTATGCTTATTTAAATGATGAGGGTGTTGAGACTAAGTGACTAGCCTAGGGATGCACAGTGTCATAGCTAGTGATATAGCTGGGACTAGAACACAATCGCTAGACTCCTCCCAATTTTTTTGTTTGTGGCATTCTAAATATGTTTCATGGAAAATATTATTTGTTAGTTCATATATATTTTCAATTTGGATGCCAATGCTTTAATCATTGTTTTGTAGCAGATTTGAAGCAGTTGGCTTTTTGTATAATGACACTCATACTGGTAAGTTCCTTAGAGTGATAGCCAAAGCAAATATGTCTCATGTCTCTCCGTATTTTTGTAGTTGTTTAAAAGTTCTAAATTATTTCAAACTTATTTGACACTGAAGTGTGCAATTTAAATTCTGATAGGGTTGTAGAAGATGTGACTTTGAGTTCTTGAAGATTATATCAGTGGAACACAAACCACAAACCTGTCCTACCAAGTTGGAAAGGTTTCATTGTCTACTTGAGGGCTACCCTACCTGACTCTGGAGAGGATTATCCTAGAGGGTTGGCTGGTTACAGCAACTCAGGAAACTTCCTGCTTAGAAGTTGGTCCTTGAAATAGCAGTATATTTCTTTTTTTAAAAAATTTTTATTTGGTATTTTATTTTTCCCCAGTTACATGTAAAAAACAATTTTTAACATTCATTTTTAAAACTGAGTTCTAAATTCTCTCCCTTCCTCCTTCTCTACCCCCACTCCCCGTTGAGAAGGTAAACAATTGGATATAGGTTATACATGTGTAGTTATGCAAAACACTTCTATAATAATATCAGTATATTTCAAATGTAAATTATCTTTGTTCATATTTTAGGATGTAGTTTGAAATAAATGATAAGAATGTTTTAAAAGCTTGAAAGTCACCAAATAAAATACATGAAAGCTATAAAAACTTTTCAACATTTGAAGCATTAGGAAAGTTAGTCTAAAATTCATGTTTTACAGTTTTTTATGTTTTCTTTTTAGTCACAGGTTTTGAACTCTGGGGTGCAGTAGTTACAACAGGGATTGTCTGTACTTTCTACTGCTCATTGGTATGTTGTTTATTTCAATATCAGCTCTACTTGTTGAGTTAAATAGTCTGCATATCTAATCTGAAAGGGAAGATTCAGTTTTCTTAAAATAAGTTCTAGTCCAACACTCTATTTTAGGGCCTTCTACTCTTTGTGTAGTTTCTCTTTCTTTGTAACCTCGTCAACTTCCATGGTTTTAACTAACATCTCTGGGCTGATGATATTCACAGATCTGTCTGTCCAGCCCCATTCTTTCTCCCAGACTTGAGCCCTACGTTACCAGTTGCTTATTGGATATTTCAACTGCATGTCTCAGAGAAATCTTAAGTTTAACATATCTAAAATGTAGTTCATTGTCTTTCCCCCTGTATTAATACGATTTAGTGAGGTTCGGATTCGCTCCTATAAATGACACTCTCCAATGCACCAGAAAATAATAAGAAATAGATAATTTATTTAGAAGAAGCAAGGCACAGATAGTTTGAATTTGCATAGAAAGCATATAACAATAAGAACAATCAATAACATAGCACCGATCAAGAGAGTCGGTAATGGAAGAGAATACATCACCAATTCAAGGGAACCTCCAAAGTCAATCAACAGCTGGGAGCCCCGTTGCAGCCCGTACAAACTTGAATTGTGTAAAGATTTTCCCGGGCGAAGTGTCCTTCCCGCGGGTGAAGCTCAGCGGGCTTACAGGACGCAGTTTTTTAATATTGTTCTAAACAAAGAAGGCTTGGGGCCAAGAAGTCCTTTTTGACGCATGCGCTATTCATGGTTTGTTCAATACACATCTGGCCTTAGCCACGCTCCCATCCGCCTGAGGCTTGGTATTTTGTTTTTTAATAACATCATGTCTCACAAGGAGGGGAGCCAACCCTCCATGTCAACGTGACCTAGGAATGGCTAGTTCCTGGAATGCTAAGCCAAGAACACTCAGGAGTTACGGAACGGTCATGGCTGGGATTTGAACTGAACCTATTTATTTGAGTGATCTTATTAATTTAAAGGGGAATTTCCAATTTCCATTTCACCCCCTAAGCCTTCTCCTCTTCCAAACTTCTCTAGATCATTTGAGGGCACCACCATAGTTCCAGTGTCTCAGGTTTGTAATCTTGGCATTATCCTATATTGCTCACTTTCCTTCATCCCACATAGCTGATAAATTACTAAGTCTTACCCTTTTTGCATTCATAGCATGTCTCACTTCTAGTGCTTTCTCTCTAACCACAAAGCTGTCTTCCTAGTTCAGGCCTTTCATCACCGTTTGCTTAAATTATTTCAGTAGCGTCTTAAAGCCTGCTTCAGGCCTCTCCTCGCTCCAGTCTTTTCCATTATAAAGTATGATAGGCACTTAAATAATTGTTGGTTTGATTGATTGATGAAGGCAACGGCATAGGCATGGAGGAACACTCGGTAGATTATCAGAGCAAAGATTTAGAACTGAAGAGATCTTAGTGTTCATTTAGTCCAACGACCTAATTTTATAGATGAGGTCAAGTGACTTGCTTAGTCATAAAGGGTAGTGTGTAGCAGAGCTAGAATTTCAACCCAGGTCCTCCAATTTGAAATTTGGTGCTCTGTCCACTGTCCCATGATGCTTCCCCTTAAGTGAGATGTTTATATACAGGTAGGAAAATAGCTGCTTTTCTAATAGACAGATAAAGTAACCCTACAGAAGTGTCTGTTACCTTAGTGTTGTCCCTGGATTTGGAACCAAAATGACTGACTTAGTTTGGAGAATGGAGGAGCTAATCAGATTCAGTAAAATTCAGGAAACATTTGTTAATGCTTACATGTGCAAGTTACTGTTTTGGGTGCTGGGGACATTTAGGCAAATGAAAGTCTTGGCACTAAAGAGCTTCCTAGGGGAATATTGCACGCGCTCTCTCTCTCTCTCTTCTCTCTCTCTCTCTCTCTCTCTCTCTCTCTCTCTCTCTCTCTCTCTCTCTCTCTCTCTCTCTCTCTCTGCCTCTCTGTCTCACTCTCTCACTCTCTCCTTCTCATTCTCTCACATACACACACACAGAAGTAAATACAGTTTAATTTGAGGACAAACCACTGGAGAATCAGAGGAAGCTTCATGGATGGGTGGCATATGAGCTATATTGAAGATAGAACTTGAGAAGCAGAATAAAAGATATTGGGATTGGCTTTTGCAAATGCTTGAGTAGGAATTGAATGTCAAATTTGAAAAACTAATAATTTCATTTGACATAAAGGGATATATTGTGAATTAAGACTAGTTGAAGTGATAAGAAATTTGTGGTAAGGTAAGTTAGAACTGAATTGCAGAGGGCTTAACTGCCAGGCTGAGGAATTGATGTTTTGTCCAAGAGAATAGAGGAAGCCACTGAAGGTTTCTGAGTAGTAGAATAGTGACAAGGTCAGACTTATATGTTCAGAATTTTATTTTGGCAGCTGTGTAAATGATAGATTGCTGAAGGGAGACACTGAAACCAGAGCAAACAGTTAGGAGTGTTTTCCAGTAATTAAAGCAAAAGGCAATGGTCAAATCAGGATGATAGCATGTATGGAAAAAGAGAAATGGATTCTGTGGAAGTAGATCCAAGGATTTGACAACTAATTGGATGTGGGAGGGAGAGGGAAGCATCTTGTATTATTCCCAGGTTATAAATTTAGGTAAATTAGAGGATTCTTCTGCCTTTAACATAAAAAGGTATTCAGAGGATGAATAGTTCTACTGTGAAGGTAATGAATTCCTTTTTGTTAAGTTTGTGGTATTGGTAGGATTTCTAGGTTGAGCTATCCAACAAACAGTTGACGATGTTCTATTAGAGTTTAAGAGAGATTTGAACTAATAAAATAATTGTGTAGTGATTATAGTTGACTTCATGGGAATAGAGAAATATCGCCTCAGGAGAGAATATAGAGAGATTACAGAGAAGCATTAGGACAGAGCTTGATGTGACAATATATGCTTAAGGTACTAAACATAAATAACATGATCAGAAAACTGTGAAGGAGTGGGCCAGGCAGGTAGATGGAACAGTCCTGGAAGCCTAGTCAAGGAAAAGTATCCATGAAGGGGTGATCAGAGGTGTCAGAAACAACATAAAAGTTAAGGAGGCTGAAGACTGAGAAAATAATATTAGAAAATTAGAAATAATATCATGCAAAAAGGTCCTGGGTGATATTGGAGTGGGTAGTAGTAATAGACTGGTCAGAAGCCACAGTAAAAGGAGCTTTATGAATGGTTTTGAAATAGAGGTAGCAAATGTAGATTATCTTTGTAGGGGTTTAGTAGTGGAAGAGAAGAGACATAAAAGACAAAAGTTTGGGGAGCTAGCAAGGTGAGTATTTTTGTCTTTTTTAAGGATAGGAGAGACCTGAGCTATGGTAATAGGCAGAAAGGAAGGGGTTCAGTAGATAGGAAGAAATTTAAAATTGAGAGGAAATGATTGATGGTGCATTCTGCTGAAGAAGAAGAAGGGACATGAGAATAAGAATAGAAATAAGGAATATAGGATCATAGGAATATAGATTTAGAGCTGGAAGGGCATTAAAGGACGTTGAGTCCATCCCCATCATTTCACAAAAGAGAAGACTAAGGTCCATGGAAGTTAAATGACTTGCCCAGGGCTGCACAGCAGTCTAAGTATCTTATCCTTTGAAAGAAAATGGCCAATGTCATCCTCCAAATGGTTCTCTAAAATACATTTACAATATTTTCAGTATTTTTAAGCAAGAAATTAGTGGTTCGTTCATTTACTCATTCAATAAACATTCAGTACCTATTATGATTTAAAAACTGTGAAAGATAGATGGATAAGTAAAGTGAAATTCAGCTTGCAATTTGCTTTATAATATAATAGATGAAATATTTAATATATTATTAAGAACTATAAAACACAATAGTATATGGTATATGAATGAAGGTTAGACAGATATTCTTTGAAAAAATTTTTTTCAAAAATATTTTGGTAACTCAGAATATTTACTTTCCTTTTTAATTGTATGTGTTTTGTTTTGTGCATTTAAAAACATTCTGAGAAGGGGTCCATAGGCTTTGCCAAAATGTTAAAGAGGGGCCCAGTGTTCTGCACATCTTGCTTCAGATTACAAATTGCAGAGAAGGTACAGACCTTGTATTGCCAGATTGGGTCTTCTCATCTGGGAGTTTATGTAGATCAGTAAAGTAACAGGTCCAGCCTTTCTCTAGATTTCTGTGCATGAGGTGTTATGAAGGTTCATAGGAGTGAGAGTTCAACTCTAGCTGAAAAGGTAGGGGAAACTTTATGGGGGTATTTAAGCCAAACCTATACTTGGAGAGGAAGTGGAATTCTCCTGGGTCTTGAGATGAACATTTCTTCTATTTGCCTTTATGGTCATGTTTGTACCATTCTATTTGGGATTTGAATAACATTGTTAGAAGGTATTTTTTAATATTAAAATTTATTTTATTTTACATTTTTTTTGTTAAGAATTTATTTTCTTCCCCATCCCTTACCCACCACTAAAAAAAAAGAAAAGCAAAACTTTGTAGCAAATATAAGTAAACAAGTTCTCACCTTGGTTTGTATCTTGAGTCCAGTCATCTCTCTAAGCATATGTTTAAAGAAGGGGGGGAAGGTAAAGGAAGAAACGTTTTTTGAAGTGCCTGTGTGCCAGGTACTGCACTAAGTGATTTACAGGTATTATCTAATTTGATCCTTACAACAACCCTGCGAGTTACATATTATTCTTATTTTATAGTTGAGGGTGCTGAGCAAATGTCAGCTTTCCCTGGCACATAGAGAAAGCATAAAAGATGCCTGGAGGACTAATCTAAAAATTGTTTCCACTCCACAGAATGATTAGGGCTATCCTTGTTCGTTGTATTCATGCTATGTCTTCAGCATATGTTTAAGAATTTTTCTCTGGTAGGTGTCTGAAGTCGAGGACTTAGGAAAGAAAATAGAACAGATGTTGAAATTGGAAGCCACTGTAGAACTTAGACATGGCCCACTTTTCAAATGTATATTTCCTAATCCTGCAGTTA